CTACAATTGAGATGACATGAAAAACTGAGAAATTAGTATAGACTATACCGGTCCTCTGAGGATTGCGCGTCGGATGCAATTTGATTTTTGTTTGGAAGAAGAAGATTTTTGGGTTATTTAAGCCTGTTTTGACCAGAGTATGATTGACTGTGGCACAATCAGTATTTGTGTTGTCATGTTTTGACGTTTCTTTGACCAGGTGCCACACACAAGGTTATAGAATAAAGTAGATTTTAGTACATGCACGTGAGACCGTCTGATAACATAAAGATATTTCAACGAAATTAGTAATTGATGAGAATTTTCTCAGAAGGAAAACCTTTATAAAGATTTATGTACTCGACAGGTGTTTAACCATGAGGACGTTCAAAACTTGATAAACCGCTATATTTCACAGGTTTGTCAAGTCACTTTGGATTGGTTTTACTCATGAACGTGTCATTCAGAGTAACAATACTTGGCTGTAACAAAATTAAACACTGAACTGTCATCCACATTGACATAGAATAGTTTCGTTTTGAAAACATGCCTATAAAAACAATAAAGACACATTTTGTCCAGACTTGTTCAAAAGCACTATTTCTGTTTTTATTGCTGATTTCATAATCTTTAAACAGCTATTCTAAGTAAGCTGTCAAAGTAAAGACTACTTCAAGAAACAATAATATAAATATCTAAAACAATTGAAAAAAAAAGATCTTTAAATCGTCTTTTCGTAAGAGCGTTATTGCCACCATGCATGCATGTTAAGAACAATGGCAATGATGTGTTGATATTATTCCTTTTTATTCATGTAAATGCATGTTAATTCAGAATGCTTCAGAGAAAATTCCCTGCGGCTCAGCATATGATTGGATGAAATAATTTCAAAAACCGATACACTGGTAGACTCCCTCAAGGAGAATATACTGCATGAAATTACATACAATATTAAAATCATGATCATGTCCTGACGACAAGCAATATTCATATATTACTGGATAAAATATTTTATTAATAGATTTAGGTATCTTCTATAAGACAACATGCTCCTGTGTCATTATATCATGACATTAAAAAGCAAAGACCGCTCTTATGGGATATTGCTCCAAACGAACTTAAAACATTTCAAACAATAAGCAGAAACTTGGATTTGAAAATATAGCTTTTAAGTGCAAAGTCATTTTCTATATACAAAATAACAAAATCTTGAAAACAAATCACTAGAAACCGGGAATATACTAATTAACGACCATAACATTTTTGAAATATAAGAGCGAACTTTACATTGTTCTAGTTATTCTTTGAGTTGTTCCTTCCAGTTATATATGTATATGATTTAGCCTACAATCGATATTTAAGCATTACAAAGTCTAGACAAATTTGCTTAATTTTGCATGATTCGTGATTCGTTTAAAGAGAAATGTAGCTGGTCTTAAAAGCTTGAACGAACATTCAATTTATACACTGCTTTCTTTGTCGCCTTTGTGCAACTTTACTATTTTATGTGTGTCGATGTGGCGTAAAACCCAAAACAAACAAACAAACAAACAAACTATTTTATATCACAAGTATACTGATTCACACTCTTGCGGGAAATCTAAATTATGTTAAAGAAACAATTCAAATAAATAACATCGTGTTAAAATAATCGTAAACATGATTGTCAGTGGATTATGTAAATAACGTGAAACTTTATTTTACGCAGATTTGTTTTCTTTTCTTATCTTAGCTGATAAAAAGCTATAAATTGGATTAAGGTTTCAATGGTATCTTTCAGTTCATCACAAATAATCATCCATTTTTAAAACTGAAGCCATTAACAAACAATCAAAAACATATTAATATTGGTATCACAGATGCATTGATGCATTGATATCAAAATGGATTGTGCGCTATTTTATTAAAACAACATTAAACCAATTGAGAACGAAACATGTTTGCCACAGACCTTAACATACTTGAATACTAGTATATTTTTTGTATATTATTCTATGAAATCAAATACACTTTACAAATTCGTTAAAAGAGCCTTTATAACAGTTTCGAGTTTTTTTAATTTTTCAAAATCAGGTTTAGTTCAAAGGAAGATCTTATCCGGACATAAGTTGACCTACAGTTTCAGGAAAACAAGTTTCTGTTTAAGCCGGTGCTAGGGGCATGGACGGTAAACTTGCAATATCCAGTACCGTCTATGAACAGGCTCAATTAAACCGAGCCTGAATAATTTTCAATTTTGCCGTGTTGGGCTATCTTAAGGGATTTTGTTTTTCTCTATTTTATATGTTGCCACAAGTTTGTATATTGATGAATAATTTAACAGTTTAAACCTTGTTACTGTTTTTGTATTTTATAACTCTAACATTGGTAATTGCTACATTCTGAACCTTATTTCTGGTTTTGTATTGTATAAATCTAAAATTGGTGATTTCTAGTAGAACCGTACTGTCATTCATAAACTGACAAAAGCCACCTCTCTATGACATTTGCGATGTATTCTAACGTTTACCTATTACAACCTATTTCATCTCAAGGAATGTTCCTACAGTTCATAAACTTATTACTTCAATATTTGTATAACGTCAGTAGCGTAAATTAGAGATTCATTCAATGCAAAAAACGAAATTAAGATTCATCATACACTAAAACATGATAATTAATTTTTCCAATAACCTCCCGCGATACGAGATTTTTTATGTACTCAATACTGGTTACATAACTCCTTAGATATGTATTTTCTTTCCATGTTAGTACATCGTAATGAAGATAAATGGTACTTTTGTTATTAACATAGCTCTTTCTCTACAGAAAACGATATTTTCCACACCATCGGAGCATATGTGTTCTACTTTTGAATATAGAATCCGAAACAGTATATTTATAACCCTCATGGTATAACAAAAATATATCAAACGGAGGAGCTCTACAGACATTTTTGTTTCATCCAGGAAAGAATCATTGTATTCTTATGAATTATTGATGCCAGGTAGCATATATATTTTAACCTCTATTCAGCCCAAGGGGAGTGTGAGAGAAATCTTGGATTTTTCCATTGATATAATTTATGTTCTTTAAGAATTTTCGTACTGATGGGATAAATTATAATGATGCAATCCAGGCCCTTTATTTTTTAGCAAAGCTATGTTGTGGTGATTTATATGTATGAATGAGCTTTATTATTTATTTGATGAATGATTTATACTAAACCAAATCATGTATTGTCAATTTGTTATTTTGTGTTAGGCTTTATATTTATCTGTTTTAATCGAATTTGAAGGCCTAATGAATCTTATCATATAAATTTATCTAAATATATAATATGTATCACAAATAAAGAATGAAGTGCTGTTGCATGTATTCACAGTGTGATTATCTAAAGTCGCATGGAAATGACCAATTTTACCTTTCCAATGTGCCATGCTATTGCGGCGGCTGTGTTTCATGAACTTTGACCTCATGATTTAATGTTTACGTTCATCCTACAGATAAGCACTCAGATTTAATGACTTGTGAACTATGAGAACAAAGTGTAAATACGCAAGGCAACGTTTACAAAACGCAACATTCGACAATAATCAGCCATGCAGAACCGCCAATAAGGCACCCAGCTGGGCACTGAACAAGAATAGGAGAGCATTAATGGGCAGGGCAAGGAAGAAACGTACCAATTATTGTTAACAACCAAAATAGAAACAAGAGCCCGGTTTGAGCCGGGTGATGCTCCCCGAATAGGTTTTGGACACAGGAAAGTACACCTCTTGTAGTTTCAGAGTTATGTCCGTGGAAAAAGTTCAAAGTGCAATAATTCCAAAATTAGGCAAGGCTGTTTACAGTTTTTTGCACTGCACTTCTAATCAATGTTTGATCTATCAACTTACAAAGTTTCTTTGATGCTATCTGTTATGATTTCCGAGTTATGTCCTGGACAATTCAAAAAGTAAAAAATAAACAAAGGGGCAATAACTCCAAATTAGGCAAGTAAAGTTATGATTTTCTTTGTGCACTGCACATCTACCCATTGAGATTTTATCTACCTACAAAGTTTCATGTTGATATCTCTTATAGTTTTACAGCTATGTCCTGGACAAGATTTTTCTAAAGGGGGAGCATTATTCAAAAATAAGGCTTAACAGAGTTATGGTTCTTTTTGCACTGCACATCTTCCATTGAGATCTATTCACCTACAAAGTTTTCATGTTTGATATCTCTTATAGTTTTAGAGTTATGCCCCGGACAAGATTTTTTTTCATATAAGGGGAGATAATTCAAAACTGGGCAAAATAGAGTTATGGTTCTTTGACACTGCACTCCCCCCTCGATGCCTCTACCACTGTATGAAGTTTTCAAAAATTAATCTCCAAGGGTTTTCAAGTTATGTTTCCGGACAAAGTTCAAAAACTATTAAAATAAAACAAAGGGCAATAACTCCAAAATTAGGACAAAAAGAGTTATTGTTCTTATGCACTGCACATCTACCCATTGAGACTATTCACCTACAAAGTTTCATGTTGATATCTCTTATAGTTTTAGAGTTTTATGCCCGGACAAGATTTTTTTATAAGGGGAGATAATTCAAAAAAACCGGGCAAATAGAGTTATGGTTCTTTGACACTGCACTTCCCCCTCGAGATGCCCTCTACCACTTGTATGAAGTTTCAACAAATTATCTCCAAGGGTTTTCAAGTTATGCTCCGGACAAGACAACGGACGGACAGACGGACAGACGGACGGACGGACAGACGGACAGACGGACAAGGCGCCGACTATATGCTCCCCCGAACTTTTTCGGGGAGCATAAAAATGTAAGGCGCTAGAAACACGATGACAATGAATTAATGTATTATGTAATTTGTTTGTTACTTATAGAAACTAAGATTAGAATTTTTGTTCCCGTGAGTTCATTTTTAAATAAGTACTGTAGTCGACTTTCTCAATGTGTCGAAGTAAAATGAAAGTCCCCATTTTCCCCTATATTGTATAGTCTTTAAAAAAACCTATATATGAGTCAAAATTAAAGATACCTTTCGTTTTGTACCGTGGACTGCGCTGCGTCGACAATTCTTTGGAGTTTCTCCAGAAGGTCTTGTTTCTGCATGATATCATCAAGAAGTCTGAAAAGAGTAATTAAAAGAGTTTGCCACTTAATTGTTTATTTATTAATTATCATTATAGCAAAGTTATAAACAAGTAACAGGTAGATATTGTGTAGTAGCATTATATGTTAAAGTACCATTCATTTTTACGGAATGGAAACTCACCTTAATGCACAAATTATAAAATGACTGCAGTCTTCCAGTCGTAAATGCGATTTATATAGTATAGATCTTGTTGTCGTTTTGTAACAATTTAGTTATAAATTTATATACTAAATTATGTAGTATTTATGCAAATTTATCTTAATTATTTATTGTAGATAATATTGTAAGACTCTTGTTCAATGAAACTTATTGAAAAAAAGAAATACATATAATTCAGAATACTTAAATGTTTCTTATTTTGGCTTAACCATTTTTATAAATTCTTTATTTCATCAACTTTTTAGAACTTTTATGGTCCCTTAAAATAAGTGATTCAAACTCCATTTTCACGTTGGGTTGGTGCTAAACGGACATAACTCCTTCATTATGTAATATGAGTTACAGCTTTTTTGCACCAAACCCTCACTTAGTTTTGATATCCTCAAGTTGCAAATGATTATAACAATTTCTATACTGGAAGAAGGAAGTAGGGACGAAAATACAGTAAAATATGAGCAAAAGGTTTCCTACTGAAAACTTTATAGCATTTTTGAAGAGATCCGATAATCATGAATAAAATTCACACTTATTATACTTTAATATTCTAACAATTTGATACTTTGTAACGATTAAATTTTAATAGACAAAGTACAATGAACAATATTCTGCTTCAAATTTAAATGGAATATATGTACATTTAGAGTGTCATGATCATTGATAATAATAAACCTTTGATGACACACGTTTAACTACATAGTAATTTTTTTCAGTCTCCTAATTAGAATCCTCCCACTGGAATTTTAGCGTCTGACATCTAAACAGGTACAATTTTGACTGAATTTGATATAAATTACAAAAACGAATATGCGTTGGTTTAATGTTCATACGTTGTGCACAAGGAAAGTGCATTTTTCGAAAAAAATAAATAAAGGTCTCTTATACACCTCACATAAACAAACAAGCGGCTTCCTGTACCAAATCATTTTGACTATAAAAATGTCGTGATGAAGCAGATCAATATTTCGATTTCTCATTCTAATGAAATTTACGGCCATTTAAATTGAAAACGCTTGAGTGACTTCGCTCAATGACTGTCGTACACCATTGTTGTAACTGTAACATCGTCGGCGTGATTTTATTTATTGTTATCTTATTAATACGCGTGGGGTTAATTAGTTCTAAATTGTTCCAAATGGTTTCAGTGCGCACTTTACTGTTATTTGATATTCATATCTCAATTATCTAAAAGAAAACAAGAATGTCAAAAACATGTGTAACTGATACTACTAGGCACATGCATTCACAGACTAGACAAAATATGTAAAATGTGTACCTGACACGATATAGAGCATGAATACACCAATCTCTATCCTTTTGTCATTCATTTACGGTGTACAGGATTAAATTAAGGGGTGAAGCAAATTTTAATGTTATTAAACACGGTCTTATATTATTTAAGGCAAATTATGGGGTTATCAAAGGTGAGTTTTGGTATAACATTTTGACTCCTGGTTTTGTTAACAGTTTGTAACACTCGAGGTTAGCCATAATCATCTTTCCTGTTTCGGCGCCATATGAACTATATTGGTGCGCCGTAAAACCAAATCAATAAAGAAATTCAGACAGTATGCAATTAATGTTTAGGATTGCTGCTAATTGGCTGCTCACTCAATTGATTGAACTGTAAATCATTAAATGCATGTGATAAGGAAGAACCTTTTGCCAAATCAGATGTATTTTATAGGTTGAGAGTAAGCTGAAATGTTTTAAAGTATTCGATTCAAGATTAACCAATGTTTTAGCTTATTCATTGACCAGTAATCTTTTCTTTGTCTTTCAGGACCCGAATATGCAATTTTCATTTATTCGATATCTTGTAGTCGCCCTTACCGATGGAATTCGTCTTTCAGAATGTTTAAAAACTGTACAAGGGACCACATATCAATTTATTGATAACATTTTATCTTTATGTACCATCTTAAAAACGTGGAGCAAATCGAGGCTATGATCTATACACTAATTGTTGTACTGGCGCATTATTTATCACTTTAAGATAATATCTTTTTTTAAAGATAGAAATGTTGATAACAGAAATTGATGTTCATCGTTAACAAGACAGGTGAAAATCCGCGTGTGCAGTAATCAAATTACACTGCTTTAATATTAACATAAGACCACACTAAGACTAGATGGTATTTATCGACTAGATAATTTTTATATATTAACATAAGACCACATTAAGACTAGTTGGTATTTATCGACTAGATAATTTTTCATATTAACATAAGACCACACTAAGACTAGATGGTATTTATAGACTACATATTTTTTCATGAAAAATAAAACCACACTAAGAGGGGTAGTACCGGTATTTCAAAAAAAAATATAAGATCTTAGCTCTTATAGAACTGATGTTGATTAATTGAATTAAAGCTGTGCTTGATAATCAATGTTGATCTAAGTAACTTACACCTTCTTCTCGGAAAGCTCTGCGTAATCCTCTTGTGATCTCTTACCCGGTGAAAACTTGCCATGAATAGCTTGATTTAATGCTTCACTACTAGATAAGCTGTTATCTGCAGATTGTAAGTCACAGATACTGTCTGACATTGGGCCGAAGTATCTGCAAACGTCTTCTCTGCAAAAAAAGAAATGTAATAATTCTAAATATAATAAAGTGGTTCAAAATTGGGATGATTTACACATTTCTATGGCGATTTTTCCAAATATTATAAGCAAGTTCTTTTTCATTTTGGTAATCTGCTGCCTTTGTTCTATGAAATTAAAGCTTAAAACCTATATATGACTTTGTTATTTCTAATTATGAGTTTAAAAAACTAAATTAGGAGACATATGAGCCTTATTAGGACATTGTTACTCCTACCTTGGACTTTTAAAAAGCCTGATTAAGAGAAATAAAATCCAAATTAGGATTTTGTAGCTCACAAATAGGTATTTTAAAAGCATGATTGGGAATTTATAAAGCCCTAACTAGGAGAAAAATATAAGAATAAGGAGGAATTAAATCCTGATGGAACCTTTTTTAAGGAGTTTTAAAATCCTTACATAGAGAAAGGCTCTCAGGAGTTGTTTTTCTAATAGAACATTAAGATTTAGCAAAGGACAATTCCGTAGTTAATAGTGGACATCGACTAAAATAAATTTATTTTTGCAGCTACCTCATTGCCAGAGAGCATGTACTGTATTACTTTTACCAAGACAACCAGACATTCACACAATGGGCAATAAGAGCCTGTACTGTATTACTTGGTTTAAACATATTTTTATTCAGATAATATATACATGTTAATAATTTACAATTTAAGCAGAAAGGAATTGGACCGAGAGCTACAATAGCTCATAGTAGTCCTCTCCTTTAACAAAAGCAATATGTTTACATAATACATGGCTTATCATAATTTTAATTAAACCCTATAAAGAAAAAAAACGAAGAAAGAATAAAAAAATTACAAATACATGTATGCAATTGAAAGAAAATAATAAAGAGAAAGATGGAGAAAAGAGGAGTTTGCGGATGTTTCTATATCATTTGTCGTTTTGGTACGAACATCATTTATGGGGAAAAAAACTTGTGTGAACACTATGTTGTATGACAACTAGTATATTACATATTAGAATCTTTTAGTATCTCTTATAAATTTATGAACAGCGGCGAAGATAGCAGTGTTGGAGTCCGCAGGTAAAGCAGGGTCTCCATAAAGAATAACATGCAAAGTTGGAGTGCAAAAGTTGGAAAGAGTGTTTAGTAGATTACTGTATTACTTGTACCAATACACTCACACAATGGGCAACAAGAGCCCTTTTTGTTGTTGTTTTTTTGTTGTTGTTTTTTGTTGTTTTTTTTTTTAAAAAAAATATGATTTCCTCGCAAAGTTCTAAATATGGAAAAATGTACAACGCGTTGACCAAAATGGGAAATAAATGTTAAAAGACTTCACAAAAGCCTCAAGAACATAGAATTTGAAAGTCTTAAATATATCAACTGGCACTTTCAAAACAGAAAACAATTACAAAAGATAATGAAGGAACATAATCAGAATATTTGTGGGACTTTTTGTCCGACTGGATTGAAGTGTTTGAAATCTTTTCATTTTAGGGTCATTTTGTACAATAAAAATGACTTCTCTTAATGAACAGGATGAGGGAATTATCATAAGTGATTGGTATGGAATATGGTATATCAGATAGTATAAAAATCTCAAAAATATATTTCCCGTCTTGTCATGTCAAAAAACAAAAATCCATAACAAACAAACACAATAAAAAACCGTAACCATTTCCCTCCTATTGTTGTTTTTATATTATTATTACTATTATTATAATTATTTTATTATTATTATTATTATTATTATTATTATATTATTATTATTATTATTATTATTATTATTATTATTATTATTATTATTATTATTATTATTATCAAATTTATCTATTCATTCATTTATTTATTTTTAAATATTTGCCCTTGATTTGTTATTCATGAACAGGTTTCAATTAAACAGAACCTGCAAAACTTTCAATTTTGCCGTGTTTAGCGTTCTTTAATTTTTCAATATTTACCCTATTTTCAGCCGACGATTTATACACAATATTAATGCTGACCAAACAGCATAAATAGTGAAAAACAAAACAATTATTCCATACAGTTTATAATTATATGTATTTTTTGCAATTTAACAATATAAATATTCATATTAATTCACTATTCCTACTCCAGTGTGTATAATAAAACGTGATAACTGTAATGTTCCTTTTAAAATAAAGCATGAAGTTATGGTCTAAATAGAGAAATAGTCTCACTAATTAGACCACATGAAGTAGGTGCTTTCATAATAAACTGGTTTGAATAGTGGACCATTTTTTGCTCTATTTTCCAAAACTATAGCTCATTAAAATTGCTATGATGTAAAAAGTTATAAATTTATACTGCACAAAATAACGTTAAAGATGACCAGGAATTTATAATTGTAAACGATGAACTTATTTTGCATATCTAGAACCTTCAATTAGGTTACGTTTTTTGCATATATATTCGTACAAATCTGGAAATTTTGCTGAAATACTTAAAGTCTATTTTTTTGACGCATTGAGCATCATTTACGCCCACGTTTCATTTACAATTTACACCCATACCACGAGTTACAGACGCGTTTGGTTTTAGTTATTACTTTTTTTTCTGTATTTTAGACATAAGATTGGTGAAAATTATAAGAGAGAATCATATAAGACCGAGAAACAAAAAGTAAAGAGGCGGAAACACTGGCGATTGTGAATTTATTATTAATGCAATGGAGTACCCCGTTTTCACCTACTCTTGAGAAAAGGCGTTTTCTAGATGCTTTGTCACGAATGAATGAACTTTGTAATTAAAGTTGGTTGAGTTGAATTAAGTATTACTTACAAAGAAGATCAATGTCGTGAATTTGCATTAATTTAACAAGTCATGTCCATGACACAATTTATGCCGTTTTATTAGTCATTATGACTATCTCTATATTTTAGTAATAATGATTGTGAAAAGTTTTTACAAAAGCAACTGCCAAGATTTTCCTCAAAGTATCTTTTGGACAAATCGGTCAACATTTAAATGAAAAATTAAGATAAGAGTTGTTTGTTGTCAGACAATAAATCGAGTGTAATGTTGATAGAAAATTTCTGTCAATACGATTTACAAATCTGATTGTATACAGCATTGCTTTCATTTGATTTAGAATGTCTAAGTTCAAATTAATCTTCTTATACAATACGCTGAACTTGTCATAAACAACTCTCCCCAAGGCTTCAAACAATAGTTACCGTGTACAAACCACTTCAGACTCAGCATTAAAACTCCATTGATGAAAATATTGAACTATATTACGAATGTTTATTTGTTTTTTATTGTTAAATCGTTTCTGACAATTCCACTACCAAATAGTGCCATATGGGAATTATGTGAATATGTCTTCTAACAATCTGAACAGTAACATTTTATCTGACGGAGTTCTCTCTATTGAATTGATCTCGTAAGCATGTTCGCAGTAATTCCGGACAAAATGATTACACTAAAGCTTCCAGTCTTTCCGGAGACACTGATCATAATATAAACGCTGTGAATGTTGCGACTCTCCGCTGAGGGAGGCTAGTTTGTCATACAGACTCTCCCCCTACGGAGGCTTGTTTGTCACGCGGTGCAAATATTGACAAATAATAAAAATGTGAAACAAATTATTATATGCCTTCAGCTTCCCTTAACCATTGATAAACAGCAAATCAAAAATGAATTATTCAGTATCTTTTGGTCAATAAATGATTGAACTCAGTTATCTTTTAGTGATATCTGCATAATTATATTTTCAATAATGTGATTTTTATCACGACATTGTCATTGCCTTATGTAAATAGGTGTCATTTTAATTTCTGATGGAAGTGTACTTAATGCATTATAAAAATGTATGAGAATGACATTGTGAAGCTAGTTCATTTTTAATACTAGAAATAAAGGCAACTCTGATTCAAAATAACATGGTATTGAATATTTTTATTTGAAGTTCGACTTATATTGTTTTCATGAATTTTTTATTGAAATAAATGTTCAATATCAATTAAATTGCAAAAAGTATGTTGGCTGTAGTTTTTCTTTTTTACTATACGGCTTAACTTTTGAAATTTTGAATAGAGAGCTTGTGAACTGAAAATAAGTTATGATTTGTGACTGTGTTTTGAATACATCTGTTATTTATTGACGTCATTCGCTGGTAATCTAAATATTATACAACAAGTGACTTGTCCATATATCTTAACATTGGCAGAGTAAGGACGCTTTAATATCATAGTATAACATATTTATTTCAATAGTTAAATTTGATAAGTGTTACTTGTCTTTTTGGTAAATCAGTAACGCACGTATGACATTTCTGTACTTGTAATTTAAGATATTTTTATTGCTAACACGGCAAAATACAAAATGCGTATCTAACATTTACATAAATGGACATCTCACATATTGCATTTCACGAAATGGCAACATAATATTTATAATCAAAAGTAATATACTTAAAGTTTTTTTTTTCTGGGAAATAACAGAGAAATATGTTGTAGTAAACTAATCATTAGAATAAGTAAGAAAAGGAAGGTGTATTTGCTTTGCATTTAATGGTATATCGTACAAAGTTAAAATCTATTTTAGTTAGTTAGTTAGTTGGTTGGTTAATTGGTTGGTTAGTTAGTTTGCTTGCTTGTTAGTTTGTTTGTTTTTGTTTGCTTATTTCTTTGTTTGTTAAGAACATTCAACAAATAAATCAGAATCAAAATATCCGTTAAGTATGATTTTTGTTCATTTTTTGTTTTGTTTGGTTTTACGGCGCACTACACAGTTTAAGTATAGCGCCGAAACAGGAAACATGAAATTGCCCAACCTCGGGTGTTACAAACTTCAAAGCAACACCAGGGGTCACCCAAACCACCTCACCTGCTGGAGCTAAGAGATGCATAAACTCCAATTATTCAAAATCATTTAGTGGCATCTGGCGATCACGTAGGGATAAACGATTGCTGCAATGCTTTTGCCTCAGCCATAAAAGACAACCCTTAGCCTCAAGGGTTTTTGTTCACCTTACTTTTTAACAATAAATAAATTTTATGAACACTTGCTAATTAGTGTAATGAAGTGTTTTTCTCATTAGCCATACACTTCATAAACATCATTTATTGAATTAAATTCGCATTTAATTAAGATTTAATTATGTATTAGATAGGAACTTCAAAGACTCTAAACGACTTGAGAGCGCATGCGCAAAGATTGTAACGACCTGATAATGTTCTAGTTTAGTTAATTGAGCCCCGTATTGATAAACAAAGGTCATGATTTGTAAATTAAGTACATGTTTTAATGATAATTAAGTAAATTCTACCTATTTTGTTGAATCTTTTTTGTCATATAGTTTGATCATTTAAACAGCTAACAACAACTTTAGATCAATAAAGACAAACATATAAATGAATAGTGGTCTCTTATCAACTTCGTTTAATTAACTTAAAATTAAGAATTGTTTATTTGAAAACAAACTAAATAATCATCGAATAAACGGAAAATTGATTATGAACAGGATAAAATTGGTATGGTATGAATTGGCATAGATTTTGGGCACTTTCTGCCAGATTGCACCATACAAAGACCTTGCAAGGAAAAGATTGGTAACAAGTTCCCATAAGAAGCATGAGAAACAAAAAACTTATAAACGGAAGTTGTTTGTTTCATCAGTAGCGTTATATTTATCAAGATATTGTTGTTTTAATAGGTACCTTTTAAGTTGTTTGATATTTTTGTTTGTTTATTTTTTTAAATACATATATACATACAGATTTTAATGAACTCCTTCTCCTAAATAAAGAACTAGCATTAAATGATGAGATTCGTATATTAATACATATTAAATAAGGTTACTGAATGTGTGCTTTGAAACAATGTAAGCTTCTAAATGTTTTTTTTTTCGATGATAGTTAGATGTATTAATTCAATATTTCTACAGCAGTTTAACAAACCGATCTACATGCTTGAACAAGAGTTACGGTTCTATTATAATCTCTTTATATTGTGTGTTAATGTTGATTCTTTTCTTTCTACACCTTATTTCTGATCTGTATGATCAAAGAATACAATCAAACATTAAAAACAAAGAATTGTTTTTGGCAAAACATTGCTCTATACAAAACCAAATAGTTAAAATACATCCTTTTTGTACATATTGTTATTACATTATTTCAGCATTGCAGATGAATTTTATATGGATTTGAATATTGAAAAATACGTTCCCATAATGGTGCAATATTCATTATTTGTGCAAATTGTCATACAATTCATATGTTACGGCTGTCATACAAATGCACTCTTTCTTGCGTTAGTGTAATTATTGTTATTGCATATTAGATGACAAATACATCCGGGAGTTTAACTGTTTAGCCTCTAACTATCCATCAAAAGGAAGTTCATTGAATGATATTATAAATGCATACAATATTTACATAAAACATTCGCCTAAGTGTACTGCAAAATTGATATTATTCCACTTGGTTTGATATGAGCCGCGTCACGACAAAACCAACATAATGAGTTTGCGACCAGCATGGATCCGGACCAGCCTGCGCATCCGTGCAGTCTAATCAGGATCCATGCTGTTCGCTTACAAACCCTATTACAAGTAGAGAAACTGATAGCGAACAGCATGGATCCTGATCAGATGCGCAGGCTGGTCTGGATCCTTGCTGGTCGCAAACCCATTATGTTGGTTTTGTCGTGACGCGGCTCAAATAGTAATGCATGTAATTTAAAAAACAACTTACTGTTGCCTTGTATAATCAGAGTGAGCACTGCGGATACTTCTTGACAATATGTGGAGCTGATTGTTGACGTTGTCGAGGTGACGTATCAAGCTATAAATAAAATAGAAGACGTAAACTATAAATAAGTGACGAGTTAGACGAACACACGTCATGAATATCATTGCAGTTTATTGTTTTATAATTTCTTATTAAAAAGCCTTTCCTAAAGAAACAATTCATTCAGCATGCAAACATTATAAGAATGGTCCTGTAATACCATCTTAAACGTGAAAATAACAACTTGACATACACCGCTTTTTATGACGTCACGCTATTTCCATGACGTCATTTTTATCATGGCGTCACAAATTAATTAGTTTATTCATTCCATGTTGAAAAAAGATAGATGAAATACATTTTAAATAACTTAATGTTTAACCCTACAACTTCAAAATCTTAATTAAAATATTTTATGTACAAGATATATTTAGTTAGATGAATAGTTATCTGAAGTTGTTTTAAAATTGCAATGTATGAAACAATAAACAAATATTACTTACTCTGCATGTTTGTTGGTTGATTTGATGGCGCTAGTTGTTGCTAATGATAATGGTAAGTAAGAAAGTAGTCCCGTCAGAACAGAGATAGTATATATGTAAAAGTCAACCATTTCTGTTTATATCTGCTCTTTATATTTTTCACCACAGAATGTTAGTAACTTCTTCTTCACAGATCTGAAACATATTTGGCAGATATATATTTTTGTCCTCACGTTTTTATAGGCAACCAAAGGGCACGGACAATGCGTTCCTCATTATCTAATGGCGTTTTTATCATAGCGCATTATACATTTAATAGACAGTATCGCTTCCTGTCATATATGTTATTGGACTGTGACATAAAAGATGTACCCTTGTATTTTGTCACATTAAATATTTATACTTGCAGTCCAGTTACTGAATATAGTTCGGATCTTATTTCGTATATTGCTACGCGCATTTAACACCGCTGGTCTAATGTATTAACACCCACGAGATTTCCGTGCTTAAAACCATGGTCAGTATATATTTGAAACCTACAGCTTTGTAATGTATACAAAAGATATATTATGTTTTGTCATCAATCTGTATTGTGATTATTAGTAATTACAAACAGCTCTCAATAAGTAAATAAATGTCTGAACAACATTAATTGCCCTGGCGGGTAGAAGCGTTAATTAGTAAGATGAATGTACGGGCATCACGGTGGACTAGATAACAATTACTTTTAAGGCACATAGAATTTACACATTCTTTGTTTTTTTTTTTTTTTCTTTTTTTTTTTTTTGTATCCGCAATATATATATTTAAATTTGTAAAGCGGACGGTTTGTTTGCCGATCTTCTATTTTTAGAAACGAACGTCACCGACGCGTTATAAATAGCTCTCGGGACGCTGTTTTAAAGATTTGACCTAACAGTGATTTGACGCACTTTTTACAGATAAAATTACTGAAATGCTTAGTTTGAAATAACATAGAGTTATTTTTCAGACAGACAACAAAAGCTAAAGGCCGCTTTAAATGAAATAAAATTACAATGCCTATGTGTCTCTTTTTTTATCATCATATCAAAAGCAGTAACATGTTATAATAATTATCTAATTGGAAACATATTTTACTGTTTGAAGTGCGTTAGTTGATCATTCTATATATGACATTGTTTGGTTATCTAATTATTTAAATTAACTCATCAATTATTCATTCGTGCTATAATGAAACTGTCAAAAATCATTACAAACATAAATCATTTTAAATGATTACAACAAACTATTAGACAATAGGATACTATTTTTTATTATAACTGACTAACACTGTTTTAAGTTTCATACTATAGAATGTTTAACGACAAGGCTTTTTACTAAATTGCATTTCAAAACAATATATTGTTGGTCATCGTAATGTAGACCAATTAATTAATTCTGAACATTTAGTAAATATTCTATTAGCATATAAAATGCAAGAGGGTTTGGAATATATTGCAAGAAACACTCTAACAATAAAGCAATTCAGTGATTCTTTAATTTTTATCCAGTGGAATATGTATGAATATATCTACTGATGCTACTAAATTCCAAGTTTCATCAATTTTAAACTGAAACATTAAATTCTGCTTCAGTCGGTGCCAGGGGGTGGACAGTACCTTCACTACTGTCCTTAATAGGATCAATCAAACCGGCTTTACAATGTTTTCAATATTGCCGTCTTGGACGTTCCTTAAAATTTATTCCATTTTTGTTAAAATATTCTTCTGCATGCAGTTTAGTGAAAGTCTGAAAAAGTTGACGTTTTACTAACTAGCCATTAAACAGAGGTCATGAAAGCGACATTATGTAAATTTATCTATTTATGCAATGATAAAACCATTGATATGCAGAGTCTATTAAAAAAACTAAATATGAAGCAAAATATCCGACTCGGTCGAAATGACACCCCGTAGCACCGTTTCAACTATCACTCTATTTGCATATTGGAATCAGTGCTCCCGAAGAAGAAACAATATTGATATTATTTAAGAGAAACATGTTAAAAGTTAGAATATTTTTTAATTGTTTAGTAGTTCGGTATTAAAAGCTTATCAATTTTATAAAAAGAGCGACTCTCTCCTTTTAGAAAACATTTCTTGTTTCATTTATGTCGCAAATATATCTACACATAATTTTCTCACACTGTGAATAAAGAAAATAAACATCAATTTAACGGTGTCTGATTTTGTTAATGACATAATTCATGTAAATGCAATGAAAATAGACGTGTCACGAGAAACCATGTGATGAAACGAGTCATGACATGACATTTCTGTTTTGTCTTGTAACTTTCTAACTATTACTTACCACCTAGCACTTCATTTCAATCGACAATCATTAATAGCTTGTCAGCGTATAGTCTTCTCAAAAAGTCTTGGCCATGAAATGGTTGTAAATTATTTTACACATTGAAAAGCATTACGACATTTTGCCTTTCACAATCCATTAGAATTTAACATGATTAGCAATGTATTTTTTCGCCATGATGTAGATTGTTAATTGTTATAAGTTTGTCCCTGGAAGACTCATTCAGTGTCTTAAAAGAGAAAAACACATGTCTCCGTAACGTAATTCTCTTAAAGCTCTGATCTAGAATTAGATTTAAACGCAGACCATTTATCCATTACTAAGAAAGAATGGAAGTTTTCTAACTGATGCAGCGATGTTTTTAAAAGTTAACTGAGTGTAAGGAAATCTTTGTATCGTCTGCACTTATAATCTTTACCGTTTCATCTATGAGTTCGCGATTTGTTTTGCTTTTTAAATTCTTTAACTGTCGAGTGTACTATTTCCGCATTTTTATCTTCCTCTTATTTAGATTATCAACTTATAATGAAAGAAGCCTGACCATGTAACGCTAGTGCCATAAATCAATGTTATCGCATAAGGTACCCAAGGGGTATTTTCCATTTTTCTGTGTGTATGCCAAAGAAAACAAAAGGATGAATTTTTTCACAATAATTAAAACCTACAATAAGTAGAGAATTTGGAAAAACGCATAATATGAATATTTCGATAATATTTTAATCCACTTATGAATTATGAAGTTTACTGGAGTACAGTGAATCTTGAAAAAATGTTTCAAAGAAGTGGTCAAACACTTTATCTTGAAATTGATCCATACATTTTTTGATCCAGGTAATATGGCATGTTGTATTGTTGATTTTTTTCACTACAAATAAAACCAACGAGGCTGCAACTTACAAATAACAATGCAGTTTTTATTGCTGCCGAGGGATTATTCCTTTTCGTTATTTTTATGTTTGTTTGTCATCAGCGAAATAAAGGAAACACTCATCATTATAGGACATCTTTGATCTACATTTATACAAGAGCTTGTACTGTTATATGATTATCTCAGATGTTTTGTTTTCAAAGTGATTGTTAGTTACATGTGATTGCCAGCCGTTATGCTTATTTGCCTTTATTCTACAAGTTTCTATATTAAGATCATGGAGAGTGTCGGTTTAGATACAGTTTTACAAGATTACCTCAGACTTTCTTTTTTGTTTCTATATAGATTGTTAGTTTCAGCTTATCTAGCGCCAAATTTGATACTGGCCTTTTTGCTACAGATACTGATTTGTCATCATTTTTAATAGCAATGCCATTAACAATATAGTAAGGGAACATGTTCTAATATTTACAATTATACTGATTTGTAATACGACGAAGAACAGGGTTTGTATTGTTTAAATGTTTGTGTTACAGAAAGTAGTTGTTTGAAATAAATCAGTAATATGATACCATTTGTTGAAACAGCCATGTACCAGTAATCTTTCATTGCCGATGCATTTAATACTACTGACTTCAACTGGTACGAACAAAAGCATATAGATTAGATGGAAAACAAGTTAAAATCGATTATTATACTATGATGTCATTTAAATCAGCCGCCTTTGATACTCAAATGATCAAATTTATTAATTTGCAGTTTCATAATTAGTGGCAGGAAAAAAAGGATGATATTATTGTTTAAGGTCATAAGTTACCGTTGTTTCTTCTAATTTACTTATTTATTTACATATATTTTACTGTTGGAGCTTTCATGTTGCGAACTGTCATCGCATAATGTTTCATCTTAATTCATGAATAATTTCGTTTCATGGCTGTCAACATTCTTTTGCTCCCCTGTCAATCGGTAGGAGAAAACAGTGAACGCTTTAAGAATATACCAACTATACACAAAAGTACAAAAATCACCCTCCCACTGTTTAAATTTTCCGACTGTAATTTATATTTATTTTTAAGATTCGCATGACAGTTGTTCTCTGTAACTTTGGTTGTTTAATCAATTTAACTTTTAAAGAAAGACGCTATATTCTAAAATCCTTACGAGAGACAACTGTTAAATGTCAACAAGAACATGTGTTAACTCAACTCCAAATGAACGTAAAAGCTTTCGTTTATGAAGGTATACCATAATGATAAAAAGATCAATATTTATGGTTTATGTTTTTGCTTCAACTATTTTTTTATTACATCAGACTGACAGAACTGTAAAGTATAGAGCATAAAAAAGCATTTCTTTTCAAAAGCTTTTATTTTTGATGTTCTGTTACAGTGTTTAAAACTTAAACGTATTTGCCATAAATCCAAATAATATTTTGCGTTTTGGAATGATGTAAATTTGTAATTATTAAGTATTTTGTATAGATGTAAAAATACCACTTTATTTACATTTTGATACCCTTTTTACAAATCATTTCATATTCAACACTATTTTCTTCAGGTGATAAGATCTTACATCTTCTAAATCCATTATTACAACATCGTGTAACAAATGTTTGTCTTTTCTTCAGAAAGACAAAATTATTCATTTTTGAGGATTAATCTCCGTTTTGATACAGTTTCAGTTCTTTTAAAGGGATTCTCAGGCAAATAAATGACATAAACATTAAAATTAATTTCAATTTAAATAATAAAAATTAATTTAACTCAAGTCGCGCTTGAATTTCTGCATAAATTCTATATATTTTGGGTTTGAAGCGTAAAATATCTAGATATATTGAACGAAATTTAGACGCCGACAGAATGACCGAGTAGTTTTAAAACAAGCCATGTGAATTGAACAAACTCTGGAAGGTACAATCACAGATATTGTGAATATTGTTTGATTGAAACAAGTCTGAGTCATTCATTTGATATGTTCTTTAACGTTTCCAGAGTTC